GTTCTTTGTTGATCTCTGCTATAGTCTTGGCCTTCACAACAAATACATCTACATCTGTATTGCCTCACTGCACTCCATATAAATGGCCTGGAAATCTAGGCAACCTATACCATAAATCCAAACATCAAGCTAGTTTTTAATATACAAGTTTAGACTAAAAGCAGCAATGGCTTCTAGATGCAAAGATAGTGAGGGCTCAGGATGGAAAAGATATTCGATGAGTGGCTTTTCTTTAAATAAAACCAAAAATCTCAATGTGGAAGGGATATCATCTCCCCTGCTTCAGGACTTAAGTTTTCTTTTTACTATGGGAGGTTAAAGGAAGAACTGTAACTGCCTATTAAGGGATTCTTGCACTTTCCTCTGAAGTATCCGATACAGATCATTGTCGGCGGTAGTATACAAAAACAGCTCTACCACTGGCCTAGTCCGGTGTGTTCCTAACTCTGCCAACACCCCTTGCCTGCTGAGAGTTCCCAGCATGATAGGGAAGCCCTCAGCTATTATCGTTATGGCAACTTTCCATTCACAGAATCATAGAATCAAAGAGTCTCAGAGCTGGAAGAAACCTCAGGAGGTCATCAAGTCCAGCTCCCTGTGCAAGGCAGGACCAATCCCAACTAAATCAACCCAGCCAGGACTTTGTCAAGCCGAGACTTAAAAACTTCTAGGGATGGAGATTCCACCACTTCCCTAGGTAACCCATTCAGTGCTTCACCACCCTCCTAGTGAAATAGCTTTTCCTAATATCCAACCTAGACCTCTCCCACTGTAACTTGATACCATTGCTCCTTGTTCTGCCATCCATCACTGCTGTGAACAGCCTTTCTCCAGTCTCTTTGAACTCCCTTCAGGAAGTTAAAGGCTGCTATCAAATCCCCCCTCACTCTTCTCTTCTGCAGACTAAACAAACCCAAATCCCTCAGCCTCTCTTCATAGGTCATATGCACCAGCCCCCTAATCATTTTGGTTGCCCTCCGCTGGACCCTCTCCAATGCGTCTACATCCTTCCTGTAGTTGGGGGCCCAGAACTGGACACAATACTCCTTGAGGGCGGGGGGCTGGACTCGATGACCTCTCGAGGTCCCTTCCAGTCCTATTATTCTATGATTCTATGATTCTATGATTCAGTCCCTCTTAGGAGGGAGTCCCCAACCACCATCACCCGTCTTTGTTGAAGTTGAGGCTGCTATCAAATCCCCCTCACTCTTCTCTTCTGCAGCCTTAACAAACCCAAATCCCTCAGTCTCTCCTTATAGGTCATGTGCTCCAGTCCCCTAATCATTTTGGTTGCCCTCTTCTGGACCCTCTCCAATGCGTCTTTAACAATATGGCTTTTCTGTAGCCATGTTGGAAGGCCTGTGCTAGGCCTGAACCAAAGCCACCTTCTGTAGCCAGACTGAAGAAAACAGCAGCTGTTAAATGTAAGCCCTGGAGTCACATACCCACATTGTCCACCAAATTTGTTACCTGCACAAATTTCTCTAACCCTTCCACGCTATAGGGACACACACCTTTACCCCAGTTCCTAGGGCTCAAGGAATGTTAATTTACATGCCCACCCTTATCCAGTTCCTCACCCGTTACCATAACATAACTGGTGGGCTGTCACCAGAAGCCCCATCACAATCTAAGTTGTCATTAATGACTGGATACTCTAACACAATGGAGGGGAATTGTATGGGACCACAATATATAACATTGACTGCCTTAAGCTCACTCAGAAACAAGAAGTCGATTCACTTAGGATCCCAATGTTCTCTCCAAAATATGGGATACTGAAGGTTATGGGGTTTGCAAGGCAGCCAGGAGGGGACACTGACATTAGGATACTAATAGGGTTTCACTTGCTTCAAATCTGGGAATCAAGGCCCAGCACCCTGACTAGTCCATCAGGGAAACTACTGCAAATATCAGGAAACTGCACTAACACACTGTGGCAGGTGGATACCCAGGAGAACTGGGACCCCCAGAATGGATTAAAGAAACACAGGGCGGTAATTGTGCTGAAAAGCAACCTAAAGTTCAATTACAATATCAGTGTCTAATTAGTTTTCCTTGACATCCCTGCTGAAGTAGGTGAATATGTATTGCAAAGCCTCTGGGTAATATTACATTTTAAAATAATTGCCACTGAGTCTGATATGCAAAAAACCAAGACGACACCCGCTGAACGGTCCATATGTGGTAAAACTGGATCACGGAGAGTAAGTCATATCACCAATACAATCTCTAAAGCAAATTGAGCTGGACCTTACTGGGTTAAATGTGTCCAAGGTCATACCTCAATGCGCCCCATACGTACAGACATTCCATAAGGGATTGGCAGTTTGGCTACAATTATGGTATATTGACAAACCCATCAGAAGAACCACCCCCAGAGGTATATTGGATACTGTTTTGGGTGGAACTGAATTAGGAGTTGGAGTACTGGATGCCGCTAACATAGCAGTATTGGAAAACAAATTGAGTTATGTGACAGATGAAATACAAGAGCTGGTGTAGCCAGACAGACTGCCCCATCTTAAACAATTTTGCTTGCAAGAAACCCCGGTCTCAGCAATTAAAGTCTCAAGTGTATAGTATACACACACACACCACTCACTGCCCTAACCATCAGTTGGCAAAATTGGGGCACTCGTCAACCTCCTCCAGGTTGCCCGCTGCAAGGAACCCCGGTCTCAGCAGTTAAAGTCTCGGGTGTATAGCACACACACTGCCCTAACCATCGGCTAACAGCTGGGAAAGCCTGTCAGTGCAT